TATGTGAGTGACCGATGCGCGAATCAGCTGAACTTCGTGTTGTTGTAACCGAATGCTATGGTGTAACCGAAATTCTGTGCTTGGTAGTCAGTGCTTGGTGATATTTGGTAAGAGATTTGAGCTTTTTATGTCTGGTATCTTATATGAGGTTGTTTTTTCACGTCTCATCGCATAACAATTTCGTTCCTTGTTTTTAAGGAATACCACGTCTTCTGAAGCTGCCAATGTTCGGAATCTATCCTTTCTTGTCCATGCTACGCAGTATTTGCGTATGCCCGTAAAATTTTTTTTTTGAGTTCTTGCTCGGTTCAAGAGTGTGCGAATGTGTTTTACCATTCACTGTCGTTGCTTCAAGAGGAAGCTTGTTATTGTCGTTAATACCTCACCACATGGCATAGAGCTTCTGATTTACTGCCAGTGCTGTCGTGCTCTTTTCATGCTAATGCATTTTAATTAATTGTGCTGTGTCAAGTCATGTTCATGTTTTGTGTAGTGTGGATAGTTTGTCAGTTTTAATGTGTCCAGTCATAGTCATGTGACATGTCGAGTTTTTCTTTGAGTCGAGTTTCATTCACGTGCTTAAGTGGTTAGTTATTATTATTATTAATAACTTTCCTAAGCATAATTATATATGTTTGTTATGGTTTAGTCCTTCATAACATGTTTTTGGAGTGAAATATTCCGTCGTCGTTTCGCTACTCTTTTTTGGTAAACCTCATTTAACAAATCTAACGGATTCCATTTTATAAGGAGTTTTTGCCGAACTGCCTATTTACCATTTTGGTCATGTTACAAGCAAGTCATTTTAAAATTTTGCCGTTACTTGTTTTAGATAAGACCGTTAGTGTGAGATAGACAGACGTCCATCATTTAGTCTTTGTTGCGCTGGATTCGAAGAAGTTAACTATAATTCTGCTTCGTAAATGTCAAAGCAGCTTTCTTGAACTCTTATAGAAAAACCCTGTTGGCAACGTTCGACAAACTGTTTTCGGCGATTATTCTGGAATGGCTATCGCAGACAGTTGAAATGAATATCACAGTAAACCAAGCAGTCGTTTGCTGATCATAGAATATCTCTCTACACCAGATCTTCTGCTGTGTCGCTGGTCCCAGCTTCATTGTTACGCTGCCACCTTCACAGATTTTCATCCCGTGCTTCATCAGCCGCCCAACGACATGGAAGGTCTCGCAAAGCTTCGTAGTTTCAGAGCGAAACGTTGCAGTAATGGAGAGAATATAAAATAAGAAAGTAGCGCTGAGAAATTCAATAAATTAATTTCGAATTGGCTTCGATTAAAAGACAACGTCAGAAGGTGTGATGCATTCTTCTCTCTGATTGTTTAGAGCATATGCAGTAATAAATCGTATTCTACAAAATGTCATACTCAGTCAAATGTCATACTGTAATTCTACAGTCACTACTTGTTTAACATACAGGCTGAAGATCTAGGAGTCCGCTAAGAATATCCTGGGGCAGGTGTGTCGAGCGACTGTACTGCAGATTTCTGAATTTTTGCTGCCGAAGCTCGAAAGTTAACACGAGATCGGGAAGGTTGGAAGCACTGTCGGACGAATCTGCCTCCGCGATCCGAAAAGTTAAGCGGTCGTCAAAGAGGACTGGTTGACTAATTGACTGACTGACTGTCATACTGTACAAAACAGCGCTTAGCGGCATCAGGCAGGTTTCATTCCTCAGCTAAGTACACAACTGACCTTACTTATGCTGGTGATAGTTTCATATTGAGTACAGCTGCTTTCAGTTTGCTCGCCAATTGAAACAATGTCGCAGAAGCAGGTCTGCTGCTAAACCCTTCAAACACAAATTGATGATGAAGAGAAGGGGCAAAACAACATAAACTATTTTCTGGCACGAAAGCAAGGCTACTTTGATGAATATTAAATGCTTCATTGTAAAGTTCCAACGACGCCCACTCTGTTTAGGACTTAAACAAAACAATGCACTAGTATAGTGTTTCTTACATCTTCAGTAGCCACATGAAAATTTAGATTATAAATGAAATATCAATAGTAACTCTGATATGTCTAATTCACGTCGTCGCTTTTTGTCGTACAACCTAGAAATGTTTAATTATAGAACAGCAGAACGGTAGATGAATGTCCCATGAACAGTCTCATACACAGGTGGTATGCTTCTCTTTACCAAGATTAGGGTTGATATTCACCGGACCGTAATTTTTTTCGGTCCATTTTCATCTTTACGTTTTCTGGCTTCAATACTTTTAATACTTCAATACATTCAGTACTTCTTACTTCAAGATTTACTTCAATACTTAAGTTGAAGCATCGTTTGTCTCTGTGATAGCTTCGACGAATTGCTTTGACAAGAATGCAGTGCAGTGTCTTCATTTCTTCTGGGCCATGTTAATGAAATCTGCTTCATCGCGTTTTTGTTCTGATCTGACGAAGATCTAAAGTTTCAGTCCTGGCTCAGGACTGCATCATTTTCCTATTTCAACCGTGTCTGTGTTTCCTACTTTCATTCTGCTGCTCATAAAGAAGCTGCTGGTCGCGACTTCGAATCCGCTGTTAATTTTTATGTGGAACAGAAATGCAAAGTGCAACTTTCAAACAGTGGCCGAGTAGTTAGTGATAACTTTGAAATGGGTACTTTCTTGGTATTGTTGCTGTTTATGTTACATCGATTACTTCAGACATCGTTCGTAATATGTTAAATACTGTCACTATTTTGATTATGCTTTTTTCCTATTCATTATTATTAAGTTCTTTTATTTTGTACATCATTTTCAGAACATTTTGCGGTATCCTGTTAAAGCGGATTGAACTGTTGGTCTTCTACGGTGTGCAGCAAGATGCCAGACGAGCTCAGTGACATTCTAACAGATCTGAAAATCATAATTATAGGCAACTCAGGCGTGGGAAAGTCATGGTAATTATTTCTGCGAATTTCCCTTTATCGTGACTGGTGTTGTTTAATTTTTGATTAGAAAAAATGATGGTAAGCTTGTTATGAATCCTGGGAAATGTCACTACAGTGCAGGCTTTGCCGAAGGATCCAGGTATTTGCTTACAAATAGCAGTTCCTAGTAATACCTTATAGTAAAGACAAAAGCAACTTTCTTGCGAATTTGCCACTTATTTATCGAACGTCAGATCATCGAGGGCAAATTAAAAAATCTCATAATGTGCGTCCTCGTCTCCTGTAACTCAGTAGACAACGTATTGCAGCGTGTGCTGACTAGTGACTGTGCTGCGCTGTTATTAGATAACTGGAAATTAGTAGCTATCATGAGTGATATGATGGCACCCTCTTTCATGACAACGGCACAATTCAGTTCTTTTCATCTGTGTTCTTCTCTCCTTTGCCCTTACGAGACAGAATGGCAGGCACTCAATGAAAAGGATGCGAATGGACTTAATTTTTATAACGGTGCAAAGGTCGAACACGCGTGATCTAAAATCGTCATGTGGTAGGCGGTTTGTGTGCTTTATGGTATTGGTTTTGAACTTGTCTTTTCCTGATATCTGTAAAAAATACCACTATAGGACCTACCGCTTCTAACAAAAGTTGTAACGTGTTTTCAGTATATTTTGTATTATTATTCACTGTTTTTGGGTGCGCTTGGAGTTGATTTTTGTAAACGTTTCTTTTAATTACCAACGTTTCAACCAAACAAAGGCTTTCTTCAAGGCGAAATAAACCTATGCGTTTTCTAATAATCAGTACTTTTTGAAGCTTTAAGAAGATGTTTAAAGTTAACGGTTTTTTTCGGTGTCAAAGACGTGATTCTCATTTCACTTGCAGTAGTTAAAGAGGTCCCTGTAGTCAATGAAATCTAAAACAAACAGGTAGTGTGGTACACTAGAGTCAAATCGTTATAGCGAAATATAAGAAAACAGAACAACATGCATTGCAGAAAGACAAATACTAGAAACTGATGAATGGCACAAAGAGATGCGAGAAGAAAATGCAGAAAGGAAAAATTTAATATAATGAGGGAAGAAAATTATTCGAAACTAAATCGAAAGCAGCATAAAAATATGGTTTATTTATACGCAGTGCAAGTGTATAGTCATTGTGGTGATTAACAATTACCAACGTTTCGGTTGACATTTTCACGAACTGTCTTTAAGGTGAGAGGGCTGATTTTTAAAGTTCTTTTTGTACTCTGCAGCTGTTGTAACGTTTAATGCTGTAGGGAGTATTTTATCCTTGCCGCTAGTTAAGTAGTTTTTAGATTACAAGCGCTACAAGGCTCATACAAAATTCGTATCATTTTTCGCTGCAAACGCTCTTCCAGGACCGGGTGATTAATGCCTCCTTGACATGCCTATGCAACCTTAGGTTTTTTGTTTTGTCTGAGTAGTTTGTCCTCTCTTGAAGAAGGCCATTACCGTTTGGCGTTAATGCTTGCAATTAAGTGAAAAGTACGAGGATTTGACCAGATGCTATTCGCCTGGCGGTATTCAGTCATCGCTGATACCTAACAGCTTCGGTATCCCTTTGGTTTGTCTTTGTTGTTCCTTTTGTTCTCAGTATTTACCAGTACGTGTCGAGCGTACAAACCCAGCCGCTGCATAAAACATGCCGAAGACACAACGGTTATTTTCTCCGTGAGTTGAAATGTTCATGATGTGGTCCACCACACGAAAGATTTTGAAAACCTGTTAGGGTCTTGAAAAACAAGGATCATGCACTACACAGGTTGTTGCTAAAGGACGTTCTCTGCATGACTGGAATTAGTTCGAATTTCATGTGCATTGCTTTGAGAACAAAGGCGTGTCGAATATTTGCTATACTTCCTCTGGACCCCAATGAATTTGAAGCCGGTCTTAAACACAATCTTCATGTGTTAAAGACGTCATCGTGCAACGAAACATTTGTCTT